TTAATATTATGTTATTACAATTTATTATTAATAATATTCATTCATTCATTTTCTTTTTGGCTTAGTCCCTTTATTAATCAGGGGTCACCACAGCAGAATGAACCGCCAACTTATCCAGCACATGTTTTACGCAGCGCATGCCCTTCCATCTGCAACCCAACACTGGGAAACACTTACATACTTTTGCATTCACACTTATACACTACAGCCAATTTAGCTTACCCAATTCATCTACAGTGCATGTTTTTGAGGGAAACCAGAGCACTCGGTGGAAACCCACACCAACACGGAGAACATGAAAAACCACACAGAAATGCCACCTGAGGCTCGAACCAGCGACCTTCTTGCTGTGAGGCGATCGTGTGTATATATATATATATATATATATATATATATATATATATAGATAGATAGATGGATAAAACGATAGAACGACAGACAGACAGACAGACAGACAGACAGACAGACAGACAGACAGACAGACAGACAGACAGACAGACAGACAGACAGACAGACAGATAGATAGATAGATAGATAGATAGATAGATAGATAGATAGATAGATAGATAGATAGATAGATAGATAGATAGATAGATAGATAGATAGATAGATAAAATCCTAAATAAAAATGCATTAAAAGAATTGATATACAATGTGCATTTTTAAATCTTCTTATACACATAGAATTTTTTTTATTATTGTAATAATAACTCAGAATCTTACAGTTTTTACTTTATTTCAATGAAATAAATGCAGCCATTGCAAGACTTTTTTCAAATAAATTAAACTGAAGAGGCTGTGGTGAATCTGAAATGACCCAGACGTCTATAAAGTATTTATCCTGGCATTTTTAATATCTTTTTCAATCTAGCAGATGAATAATAATACACTGAAAACAATGCTGACCTTTTTTTGAACTTGTGTTTTGTCTTTTTCTTTTTTAGACCACATGACATCATCTTTAATCCAATAGTCTTTAGTCTAGTAAAAGTATAATGTATGTTGACAAATATTTTAGCATATACATTAACAGTAAAAGGATGTATGGAAAACTATGATAGCTGAATCTGAAACAATTTTTTTTTTCATCTAATCAAATGTGGTTTTGAATGAGAATGTCTCGCCTCCTAATTACCACTTTTACTAGCAATTTCAAGTAAATCATTGTTCAGAGCTAAAACCAAACCTGTTGAGCTTGTTAAATTTGAAAAAAAAATTGTTTGTTATAGTTCATTGTTTATTAAGTAAATAAACAGCTGAATATTTATTTAAACAAATGTTTATATAAGCAAACAAGCTAGAAAATCTAAATAAACAAACAAGTGTATAAATCTATCTAAATGTAACAATTACATTACAGCATGTTACAAACAAACTAGAGAGAAAAATAAGAAAACTAGTCCATAAATACATGTAAATGTAACAATGTAAACAAATGTAGGAAAATAAACAAGCATAAAATAGTCTAATAAAATAAAGTAAAAGTAAAAACTGTTGTGTTTGTTGAGTAAAAAAATAAGTTTAAAGTTTGTTATTTATTTAGTAAATAAAAAAAGTTTTATGCTGACCTAGTAAAAAAAAAGAGCTAGCAAACAAATAAGTAAACCAACAAATAAGTGAATAAATAAATGTAAAAAAATTTAAACAAATGTAAGAAAGCAAAAAAGAATGAAATTAAATAATAAAATACAAAATAAATTACAGTGGATTCGGAAAGTATTGTTACAGCCTTATTCCAAAATGGATTAAATTAATTTATTTCCTCAAAATTCTACACACAATCCCCTATAATGACAATGTGAAACAAGATTTATTGAAATTGTTTCAAATTTATTACAAATTAAAAACCTGAACAATCACATGTAAATCAGTATTCAAAGCTTTTGCAGTAAAGCTCTAAATTGAGCTCAGGCACATTCTGTTCCCACTGATCATTCTTGAGATGGTTTAGCAGCTTAATTGGAGTTCATCTGTGGTCAATTCAGTTGATTGGACATGATCTGAAAAGGCATACACCTGTCTATATAAGGTCCCAGGGTTGACAGTGCATGTCAAAGCACAGACCAAGCATGAAGACAAAGGAATTGTCTGTAGACCTCAATGACAGGATTCTCGAGGCACAAGGCTGGAGAAGGTTACAGAAAAATGTCTGCTGCTCTGAAAGTTCCAATGCGCACAGTGGCCTCCATCATCAGTAAGTGGAAGATGTTTGGAATCACCAGGACTCTTCCTAGAGCTCGTTGGCCATCTAAGCTGAGTGATCAGGAGAGAAGGGCCTTAGTCAGAGAGGTGATCAATAACCCAATGGTCACTCTGTCTGAGCTCCAGTGTTCTTCTGTGGAGAGAGGAGAACCTTCCAGAAGGACAACCATCTGTGCAGCAATCCACCAATCAGGCTTGTATGGTAGAGTGGTCAGACGGAAGACACTCCCCACCTGGAATTTGCCAAAAGGCATCTGAAGGAGTCTCAGACCATAAGAAACTAAATTCTCTGGTCTGATGAGACTAAAATTGAACTCTTTGGAGTAAATGCCAGGCATTACATTTGGAGAAAACCAGGCAGCGCTCATCACCAGGCTAATACCATCCCTACAGTGAAGCATGGTGGTGGCAGCATCATGCTGTGGAGATGTTTTTCAGCAGCAGCAAGGAACTGGAAGACTAGTCAGGATAGAGGGAAAGATGAATGCAGCAATGTACAGAGACATCCTGAATCAAAACCTGCTTCAGAGTGCTCTTGACCTCAGACTGGGGCGACGGTTTATCTTCCAGCAGGACAATGACCCAAAGCACACCGCCAAAATATCAATGGAGTGTCTTCACAACAACTTGATGAACGTCCTTAAGTGGCCCAGCCAGAGCCCAGACCTAAATCTTATTGAACATCTCTGGAGAGATCTTAAAAAGGCTGCACACAGTCACTTCCCATCCAACCTGATAGAGCTGGAGAGGTACTGCAAAGAGGAATTCCCAAAGACAGATGTACCAAGCTTGTGGCATCATATTCAAAAAGACTTGACAAATAAAAATAAAATAAAATAAATGGTTTTTTTTTTAAATCTAATAAAATGAAACATACAAAATAATTCAGTCCAAAGTAAACAATCCATCCCATTTTTCCTCAGCAGACAGTGCAGGTATTAAATCAGAAATAGCTCTTAAACCGGACATCTGGCATAATAATAACAATAAAGAAGCACTGCTGATTGCATCTAAATTGGTCTCCGCAGACAAAATGTACCTTGCATTTGCTTTCATCACTGCGCTCTGCTCCTTTCTCCTCCAGCTTTGATGTATGCCAGTATTTTCGGGAATGTTTCGGCCATCATCCAGCGTCTGTATTCGGGAACGGCGCGCTACCACATGCAGATGTTGAGAGTCAAAGAGTTCATCCGTTTCCACCAGATCCCGAACCCGCTTCGGCAGAGACTGGAGGAATATTTCCAGCATTCCTGGACCTACACCAACGGCATCGACATGAACATGGTGCGTCTACTCACTGTAATTACTGACAACACTGTAAAAACACTGTAGCTAGTTTACTTTAAACCCGTAAACCCGTTGCCTTAACTTTTAATTATGCTTATAGTTTGTTTACTTATTGAATTATAAGGTGATTAACATTGATGATGATGTTACACAAGAACACGAGGACGCAAGATTGCTGAAGAAAGCATATTGAGAAACAGCTTATCTATAGTGAAAATCCAAAAGGCTTCAGGTTGTAAGAGCACTTTGTTAAGATTTCCATCCCAACCAGGATACTTTACAATTTCAATCCCTTGTTCCGCCATGTTGTTTAAATAGCATCCATTTGCATTACTTTGTAGACTCATGGGTGTTCTGGTCTAAAAAAGGAGGTGTGTTAAGGTGCATTGTTGACGCGTTGCTATTTTGAGGAACTGAAATTCTGCTCAATAAACCAGCTGAGAGCGAAAAAGCCGATTGCAGAGCATGTCAGTTGTGCGTCTCGCTTAAACATTGCTTAAAGGGCACATAGTTTACCGCTTTTTTATGATTTAATATTAGTGTTATGGTTCTTCTGAGTGTGCCAGTTTAGGTTCAGTTCAAAACACAATTCAGGTGTTTTTATTATAATGTGTTCAAAAGTATCATGTTAGGGGCGTGTACAGTTTGCTGTTTTAGGGGTGTGTTGCTTCACATGAAAATTAGTTTCGGCTTCCCGTCCAACGTAACAAGGGGGGGCGGAGCCAAGAGCTCACCCGCTCTGAGTTTTCGACAGACAGACAGACTTAGAGAAGGAGCTGGAGTGAGAGAATCAGCATTCAGCCGTACATGTACGACTCGGACACAGACCAAGCAGAGGGTACACAATCATTGGTAACACTTTACAATGAGATTCATTAGTTAATGCATTTAGTAACATAAACTAATTATGAACAACTCATGTACAGCATTTATTAATCATAATTAAACATTTACTAATGCATTGTTAGCATCCAAGTCCATGCTTGTTAACATTAGTTAATGTACCATGAGTTAACGAACGAACAATGAACACCTGTATTTTCATTAACTAACGTTAACTAACATGAACAAATACAGTAGTAGATGTATTGTTCATTGTTTGTTCATGTTAGTAAATGCAGCATTAATTAACATTAACTAATGAACCTTATTGTAAAGAGTGACCCAATCGTTTGTGTCTGTGTAGTTTTACAGACAACTGTGTGCTAGTTTAAAGTGCCGAGCTTGACTGAGGCACCTGATGTGCTGCGACAAGGCACACCAGACACTCTCTGTGGCGCGGCAGAAACATGAGGTGTCCCGAATCATCCCGCCACGCATTTTAGAACTCTAATAACAGGTTTTATCAGGGAAAACACAATGGCGCTTGAAGTCGCCGGCTGTCCGCAGCGCCCAGCTGCCAGCTAGAGGCAACATTGTGTGTACCCTGATAGAAACCTATGTTTAGAATTCTAAAATGCATGATGCTGGGTCAGCGTCGCGTCACGCAGAGCGGCGTTTCTGGTGTGCGGCCTGCAGGCAAGTTTGTTATTTTTTTCCATTGCAGAGAAGCGCACATGACGCGCATGCCCTTTTCCAGCTGCACCTAGTTAAGATCACAGGGAGCTTCTGTGAACATGAGAAATGCAAACGGCTGAAGTTTAAGGTAGACGCAATGAAAAGTACACGTTTGCAAACCTACCTAAAGATACAACCAATAATTCCGATTACAGCAATCATGTGGTGAATGTTGATCTTGTGTTGAGCCCAATGAGCCTGGCATCTAAAAATAGGGCAAGGATGTTCCTTTAGTGGTATCGCTTTGACTCACGCTGAAAATGGCGGACGTTAATCAACAAACTGAGGATATGGGACGTCAATCAATGGGCCTGTCAATTAATATTGGTGGGCGGGGAGACCGCAATCCTACATCAAATTGCGGTCGCACTGAAAACCTCTCCAATTGGTCCACTGCTTTTATGTTGTTAAATTTTAAAAAAAGGACTGGGCGTGTTTATATAACCCCAATATGACGGTCTATAAACTATACTTACACACATGTCTGTCCAAACAGCTTGAAAAGTAGATTTTTTAACATAGGTGCCATTTAAAACTTTGTTTTAAGCAATACAGAAATATCTTTACAAATGAAAAAGAATTAAAGGATTAAAATGTTATGGAAACTAATGTAAACAGCCATGTAAATAGCAAATGCGCCATGGAGCGACACAACTGACTCTTAAAGGGAATGGGAGATGAGACTCTGATTGGTTTATTTTCAAAACACACACATGAATAGGGCCAGACTGAATCTGTGGACGTTTTTTGCTATTTCTGCGCAGAATTTTGGTAAAAACTAAAGAACTTTGAACTAAAACCTTAATATATGAAATAAAAAGTAATACCTTTTTAACCTGTATTTATTGTTTACAATGCAAATCCAATTAGATCCACTTTATTTGGTAAACAAACTTTTAAGGTCCCACTTTATATTAAGTGTCCTTAACTACTATGTACTTACATCAAAAAAATAGATACAATGTACTTACTGTGTTCATAAAGTATTTGACAGCACTTGTGGTGCTCTTGAGTTGGGATAGGGGTTGGGTTAGGGACAGGTATGGTGGTGTGGGTAGGTTTAAGGGTGGGTTAAGGTGTAGGGAATGGTCAGCAGTGTATTTACAAATGTAATTTCAAAAGTTAATTACAGATGTAATTACATACATTTATTTAATCAAGCATAAGTACACAGTAAATACATGTATTTACACAATAAGTACATTGTAGCAAACTATTAATTCCTATGTAAGTGCATATTAGTTAAGGCCACTTAATATAAAGTGGGACCAATACACTAAATGAAAGAAAATATTACTTTACTAATGATGTTGTAAATAAATCATATGCATATTTTCATATTAGACAATATTGTTACTGAAATGAATTTAAAAACTGAATAAATATAAATGTACACACATTTACACAAGGAAATTAACAGAATCAATGATGAGCTAAAAATCTGCGGAATTCTGCACGTGCAGATTCTGCGTGCGCCTACCCATAACTTATTTAAGAAACCCTGGAGTGCTTTTTTGGCATTTTAACAGATTTATGTGTGTGTGTTGAGCCTCAGTTATAACAATGTTGGCACCTGTCAGCATTAATTGTAGGGGAAACTGGATAATTTTGAGCTTTTGTCAGGTAATTTCAGCTTCCGGGTTTAAAATTAATTTTGTGGCTTTGCTGTATCGGCCCTGACAGGATCGCAGAGAAAAACATACAACAAACCCTGTGGATCATGAAAACAAACACATACGATCCTTCATGAACAGCTAAATACTGTGTGCCGTGGGTCCATGGATGCGGTCTCACCCAGTCACCAACATAGGGTCTCAAAGCTTGGCACTGGCTGTGTCTTGTGTCTTGTGTCTTGCCTTCGGAAAGCACGCACAGTCATGAATAATTAAGAAATTGGCTCTTCCCATAGGATAAGAAAACTGCTATGAATAATAATGAGAAACCAACACGTCATCTTTGCACTTGCAGTCCTGCACTACATCACTGATTTAGATCCCGCCCCAAAACTCTTTTTTATGTGTGTATAACGTCCTCATAGATATAATAGTTCTGACATGAACAAGACCAATATTTAATGAAAATGGGTTATTTGGGGAAGAAAGCAAAAAAAAAAAACACACAAACAAAAATCATGATTTGTTTTTACATTTGGACTAAGGATACAAAATTTCATAATAAGGATGCAGCTTTTCATTTTTGGCTGAATTGTTCCTCTTAAATAAACTCTGAAATGCTATTTGAACATCATCATTGTAAATGTGTTTTACTATGCAAGTAAATGTGAGTTTATACAGTATGCTAAAAGCAACCTCTCTCTCTCTCTCTCTCTCTCTCTTTCTCTCTTCATGTCTGCCACGCGTGAAATGGACTGACGGCATCTCTGGCAAGAGCAGGAGGTATTTATATCAGCTCAAGTCTCGTCTTCATTCATGTCTAGCTGTAGAGACTCTCATGTTCACTCTGCTATTGTGTGTTGATGTTCACACACTGCATCTCTAACGCCTGTTTCACACCGCAAGCGTCAGCGGCGCGTGAGCAGAGCGTGAGCAGCGCCGTATGTCGAGCAGTAGCAGCACGCAGGCGTTTGCCTTTCACACCAGCTGCGTCTGCAGCGCGCAGCTCTTCGGCAGCTGCTGCTGAGATCAACCTATCTCTGTCTATTCTATCTAGTTACCCCTCTATATACAAATACACTTTTTAAACTTTTCATCTGCACCAAGGCCCCTCCTATGCTGTTTCATTAACCTGCAAATGTTTATTTTACAAATTTTATAGAGCAAATTGTACTGTATGCTTCTAAAGCTAACTTATATGAGAAGTGTCTACAGTCAAAGACAATCGCCTGTGATATCATGTCATTTGTTTTTTGATTATCAGGTTGCTGTAGACCTAGTTATAATCATATTTATACAATATAGTTATAATGATATTTATACATGATCAAACTAGTGTTAATTTCTCCGCTTCAGTGATGTCCAGCGGCAGAATAACAGCTCGTTAATTCATGCTCGTGCAGATGATGAGACGGACAAAAGTAATTAATGCATGCCATTTTCGTGTTGTCAGATTCACAGTGCAAACAGCTCCCGGTAGGAATAATTCGAGTGAACATAAAACAAAGCCGATTAAACTTTCTTGCTCTGCTCAGCTGCACAGAACACAGCGAGCTCACATAATCCAGCATGCGTGTCGCACTACACTACCCACAATACACTTCGCTATGGACTACAAATCCCGTAAATATTCCATTTCCCCTCTCCTACAACACTAGTGTGCAACTTAAGCAAAACTGATAGTAAAATAGTTTTACATTTGGTTTTGTAGTTCGGGCCTAAATAAATGTTTTGTTGCCGTTTTTAATCGTTTTAAGTTAATTTGAATGACTATATATAAACCATTTGACATTATTAACGCATTTATTGGGTAAAATTGCTACTTTTTACTGTCATTCAATGTGTTTTGGTCATTATCAATGCACTGTCACTTTAATTGAGCGTGAGCAGCGCGTCAAAAATAGACCCAGCGCCGAAACTATCGCTGCACTGCTGCTTCGGCGACGCTCACGCCTCGCACTGACGCGCTGCTGCTGCGTGCGGTATGAAAGCTGTAATCTGTTAACATGGACGCCGAAAACACACGCGCTGCTCACGCTCTGCTCACGCGCCGCTGACGCTTGCGGTGTGAAACAGGCGTAACACTCTATCAGCTCTCTCAGCAGGAAATGCATGCTTCCAAATCTATTTTTGGGCAGGGCAATATAATTATAACGAATGTTTCTATCAGCCATTTGAAGATTTTAAGATTTGAGAGATTGGTAAAGCCACATGAATGAATGAATGAATGAATGAATGAATGAATGAACGTGTCTGTGTGTGTTGAAAGCACACACAGTTGATGGCAAAATTATTAGGTTTTTATTCATTTTCAGGTATTTCCTAAAATATATATTTTTTTTCTGGAGAAAGTCTTATTGTAATTTAGGTGGAATTAAAAAGTAAATAAATAAAAATATTTTTTTTTAATCAAAGAAAAAATAATAAAAATAAATAAATCTGAAATTATAAATATTATCCTTAATATTACTTAAAATATCTTAGTTTAAAAATTATTATCTTTTATAATTAATATTAATTAATACAAATGTGTGTGTGTGTGTGTGTGTGTGTGTGTGTGTGTGTGTGTGTGTGTGTGTGTGTGTATTTGTTGAAAGCACACACAGTCGAAGCCAAAATTATTAGTTTTTATAAATTTTTCCATCACGTTTCTTTGATTAAATACAGATTTTCAAAGTTATGTTATTATATTATTCATTCATTCATTTTCTTAACGGCTTAATGCCTTTATTAATCCGGGGTCGACACGGCGGAATGAACCGCCTACTTGTTCATTGTCCTTACAGCTGCAACCCATCTCTGGGAAACATCCATACACACTTATTCACACGCATACACCACTGACAACTCGGCCTACCCAATTCACCTGTACTCTTGTCTTTGGACTGTGGGCGAAACTGGAGCACACGGAGGAAACCCATGCGAAGGCAGGGAGAACATGCAAACTCCACACAGAAATGCCAACTGACACAGCCGAGTCTTGAACCAGCGATATTCTTGCTGTGAGGCGGCAGCACTGCCTACTGCGCCGCCTGCTTTTATATTATATTATATTATATTATATTATATTATATTATATTATATTATATTATATTATATTATATTATATTATATTATATTATATCATTCATTCATTTTCTTTTCAGCTTAGTCCCTTTCTTAATCTGGGCTTGACACAGTGATTATTGGTTTAATATAAATTAAAATTAGGGTATATTGGCAAATATCGTATAAGTATTCTGCAAATATTGGTTAAAATAAGGGTATATTGGGTAAAATAGTGTGTGAATATTGGTTAAAATTAGGGTATAAGGGGTAAAATATTGGGGAAATATCGGTTAAAATTAGGGTATATTGGGTAAAAAATTGGGTAAATATCGGTTAAAATTAGGGTATAACGGCTAAAATATTGGTTAAATGTTGATTAAATTAGGATATATTGGCTAAAATATTTGGTAATATCGGTTAAAATACGGGGATATTGGGTAAAATATTGTGTAAATATCGGTTAAAATTAGGGTATATTGGGCAAAATATTGGGTAAATATCGATGGAAATTAGGGTATGTCACCTAAAATATTGGGTAAATATCGGTTAAAATTTGGGTATATTGGGTAAAATATTGGGTAAATATCGGTTAAAATTTGGGTATATTGGGTAAAATATTGGGTAAATATCGGTTAAAATTAGGGTATATTGGGTAAAATATTGGGTAAAATTAGGGTATATTGGGTAAAATATTGTTTAAACAACAGGTAAAATGAGGGTAAATTGGCTAAAATATTTGGTAAGTATCAGTTATAATTGCGGTGTATTGTCTAAAATATTTGATAAACATCGGTTAAAAGTACAGTATATTGGGTAAAATATTGGTTAAATATTGGTGAAAATTAGGGTATGTCACCTAAAATATTGGGTAAATATCAGTTAAAATTAGGGTGTGTCGGCTAAAATATTGGGCCACCGTGCTGCCCTTATATTTTATTATATTATATTATATTATATTATATTATATTATATTATATTATATTATATTATATTATATTACATCATATTATATTATATTATATTATTACATTACATTACATTATATAAAATTATATTATACACATGAATTTCGAGATCGACAAATAATAACCCAAATAAAAAAGCATCAAAATCCTCACTTCATTTTCCAGCAGATTTATTGTCTATATTGTAAATAGTGAAGTATTTAGCCATGTCTAGCATAGTTGCTGCTTGAATGAATTAGCATACATTAGATGAGAATCTATGATAACCTTTCTGATTTAGGTGCGACTCTGAGATTAAAAGTTGCTCTTGGTAAAGGAAGCCTGCGTCTGTGTTGCTAAGAGACTGAATCTGTTCTGTTGGCCATTATTGAAGCCTCATTATTTCATCTCTTTAATTGAAGATTGCAGCACTAATATGAGCGCAGTATAACTGGCACCTGGATCATTAGTCTGTCTAGGTTAAAATCTCCTTCTTTTACACTTAAATAGCATGAATATATTGGCAGAAACACCAGGATGTACAATCATTTCATCATCAGTGTAAAAACACCCCTAACACCAGGACTTGCTTTAAAACAGTGAATTTACTTTTATATTCATTAATTTTCCTTTAGCTTAGTCCCTTTATTCATCAGGGGTCGCCACAGTGGAATGAACTGTCAACTATTCTAACATATGTTTTACATGCTACATTTAAGTTTTACACCTTCCAACTGCAACCCATCACTGGGAAACACCCATACATCACACTCATTCACACTCATACACTACGGCTAATTTAGTTCATCCAATTTGTGGGGGAAACCGGAGCACCCGGAGGTATACCTGCCAACACTCCTCTTTTTCCCATAAGTCTTTCGTATTTCAGACCCATCTCCCATATAGTTCTGTCTCCTGGAATACTCCTGGAACTGACGAATTTTAAATTAAGAATTTGGTGGGTTTTTTTTCAGTCAGTTTTTGAAAGCAGCACAGTACAATTGTTGAAATAACACCATAAACTTTAAATTCACGCACTTTCAAGGACCGCTGTTTCTTTCTAAGTACTTTTCAAGCCTTGAATTCCTATGTCTGAAAATCAAGCACTTTCAAAAAGCATGGGAACTTCTGCAATAAACACATTACAGACCCCCTTAATTTTTCACAATTTTTTGTGATTTTTTTTGCGGTTGTGGTGGTAATTCCCAGAAATTTGTGGACAATTTTACAATTTAAATATATATACGAAATCATTTATCAATTTACCAGCCATACTTGAAAATCACAAATAATGTCCTTCAATTCGGTCACGTCCAGCGGCCATCATCCTTAAACCAATCTCTATCACTGTAACCTGCTTGCTTTTCTGTCTGTTCCATTGCTCCGTTTGTTAGATGTTTTCCACTTTCTTTTGCCGTCTGAGGCATGTCAAACGCACAAAAGGCCAATTTGTGTTAGGATGTCTAATCGCATCTTTGCATTAACTTCAAAAGTTAATTATTTGCGTTTAAGCGGTGTCTGCTTACTGCACAGGCAGCAAAACATTCCCCCCTCCATGTTTGTATTGTAAGGGTGCAGGTGACGCGTCATTTTCCGAGAGACACTCAAATACATCATGTGCGCTGCGTATGCAACATCTATAAGTCTTGTAAAACAGTAAATTGCTAAATGAAATGAATATAATGTGATTATTTGGTTCGGAATTGGATGTTTTATAAGATTTTTTTTTGCAATTATTTTGCATTTAAATTAACAATTTTGCAGAATCGCAAAAATGTGTGTCTTTTTGTTGATTTTGCGTTAAATTCATTGATTGCGGAATCACGAAAAAATTGGAGGTCTGACATTAAGCACATTGTATTTATATTTTGATGCAAGCACATAGTAGTTAAGGTCACTTTATAAGGTGGGACCAAAATAACTTTGCTAAATCCAATAATTTTTTTTTTTCAGTGTATACCCAATGTACTTGTGTTTGCTCAGGGCTGTTTTTCACCTGATTGTGTCGTCTCTCTGCAGGTCTTAAAGGGTTTTCCGGAGTGTCTGCAAGCTGATATCTGTCTCCACCTGAACGACAGTCTCCTGCAGGGCTGTAAGGCGTTCAGAGGAGCGACTCAAGGCTGTCTGCGAGCTCTCGCCATCCGCTTTAAAAACACACACGCTCCTCCAGGAGACACACTCGTGCACTGCGGGGACGTCCTCACCGCGCTCTACTTTCTGTCTCGAGGATCAATCGAAATCCTTAAGGACGACATAGTGGTGGCCATTCTGGGTAAGAGAGCCTGTTTGAGCAGAAACACTAATACAGAGTTCAGATGCACGGTTTTCAAAGTAGTCGTGTTACAGATGTTTTCACATTGCCTGACTATCTGGGGTAGCGTTTCATCGCTGCTATGTTTACACTGCAAGATGAATCAGCCACGGGGTTTCACACTGCAGGATTTACAAGGAATAGCTGACAACTTTGTCTTGGTTGGCATACCACGACTCTCACAACAAAACATATGCAAGAAGTGACATGAAAACACTGCAAGTTCACGTAGTATCTTTTATTATTAACTACATAATGAGAAAGAAGCCTTTAGTGGGGTAGAAAATCTACTTATTTTGCTCACCTGGCTTTTGACGAGAATTAGCAATTTCTCCCAATCCAAGCTCGTTCTGAAAATGTAGCCCTGCGGACATACCTGAAGACTGCGATTTACGTGGCCGGAGGTACGTATGGCTGCATTTCGTTTAATTCAAGCGAACGCTACGGGGCGGTGTGACGCCGCTCCTCTTTGCGCTCGTCGGCTGACGGCTCACCTTCGTGTGGAGGGCTTTCCCACAGCAACTAGTTTGTCCGGTTAGCTCGTCGCGTTACGTTGGCGGAGCGGAGGCCCGGAGGGGAGCCGGCCGCGGCGACGACTGGGTTCGAGTCCAGGGAAGAGCGGTCCCAGAAATCACGTAAGACAAAATACAGAATCCAAAAATAAAGCGAACGAGTTCATAAAAGGGCGAGAATGCGGTGAAATCCGAAAATGCGGTCAAAATCAGACAAGGACTATGGAGAGAGATAAGACTCAAAAGTAATTCACGCAAAAGACACGATTTACACATGCGTAGCCAAATTCACGTGCATAAAACCAAATTCACGTGCGTAAAATATTTATTTATATTCACAAAAAAATTTCACATGCTCAAAATAAAAATACATTTTCGTAAAATACGTTTCACAAATGCAAAACACCATTGCAAATGTATAGGAGTGTACAAAAAGTTTTGAATGTTTAAAACTTGCGAGTTCATCCTGAATGAGAATGTGCAAATCCTCTTTCACGTACGACTCCCCCTGGATACGTGTGTGTGTATTATTGAGACTTTCCTGTCAGAGGCAGGGTAACTCGTACCTTTCAGCCAATCAGAGGAGAGCTGTAGTCAAGGACACCCACTCTGCGCTCTATTTACGCAGACTGTTCCTCTCCAGCATGGCGAACGGAGAAAACAGCAGTCGCAGTCGCAGTTTTTCTCATTTATTTATTTATTTGACCATAGCCTCACTCTTTTTATCCATTATTTTGCCGCAGCTTCGCTCTTCTTATTTATTGTCTCGCAGCCCTATGAGTAAACTTTAGCCTGCAGGGTAATGATGAGGATTAAGTATTATTCCGGCCATTCAAGTCTTACCAGTGCTGTTGTGGTCCAGCGGTCAGCACGTCGGGTTGCCACGCCGTTGATCCGTGTTTGATCCTCACCTGAGGTAGTGTTTTTTTTTTTTTTTTCATTTTTATTGTTAAGACATACAAAACTGTACGGTTGTTGAACATTTGACGTTCTAAAGCAGCTGTTTTCTTGAAAAAGACGTGATAGTGTCATTAGAAACTGAATTGGAAATGATCTTATTTTAATATAGTCAGTCATGAACTGAGGTGGGCCGGTCGAAGGCTTGAAACTCCAGGGCTAAAAAGGAGTCCCACTCCGGCCCTGATTATATCCAATGAATGTTATATATATGTGTGTGTGTATATATATATATATATATATATATATATATATATATATATATATATATATATATATATATATATATATATATATATATATATATATATATATATATATATATATATATATATATATATATATATATATATATATATATATATATATATATATATATATATATATATATATATATATATATATATATATATATATATATATATATATATATATATATATATATATATATATATATATATATATATATATATATATATATATATATATATATATATATATATATATATATATATATATATATATATATATATATATATATATATATATATATATATATATATATATATATATATATATATATATATATATATATATATATATATATATATATATATATATATATATATATATATATATATATATATATATATATATATATATATATATATATATATATATATATATATATATATATATATATATATATATATATATATATATATATATATATATATATATATATATATATATATATAGGTGTTATTAGCATTATTTCCTCTGGACCTTACTGTATTTTTGGCTTCACATACTTCAACAACAGCAAGATCCTAGCTAAAAATACTGCAAAATTCAAAAGGACTGCTAAAACCTGTTAGAAACTTGCTAGCAATGTGCTAAATCGAAAATAGAGATGTGCTAAATAGAAACGTGACAACATGCTAACAGTTGTAAATGTCGAAATATTAAAATATGCTAGCAACTTGTGCTAAAAGAAGTTTGCAACCCTTTCTTGACTCTTAAGTAAGATATTGAAATTTTTTGTAAAGCCAAAAACATGCTAGCAACTTGTACTAAACACGTTTACAAACGTTTTAAAAAGCTAATGTAAACTTTTCAAAAGCCAAAAGACTTGTGCTAAACATGCTAACAGCAAATAATACACGCTGAATTGTTAGAAATATGTACTAAAACATGTTTGCAACCCTTTATTGACTTTTAAGTAAGACGTTTTAAACCTTTTGAAACCCAAAACATACTGGCAACATGTTAACATGTTAAAGCATGTTATCAGGAAGTTCTAAATGCTGAAATGTTGTAAATAGGCTATATATGTGCTAAATCATAATAGAAACATGTTAGCAATGTGCTAAAACATG